ATTGGACCTCTTCCTTACGCCTCACACAAAAATTAAGATGGATTAAAGACTTAAATGTAAAACCCAAAACTATAACAACTCTAGAAGAAAACCTAGGCAATAGCATGCAGGACATAAGCATGGGCAAAGATTTCATGACAAAAACATCAGAAGCAATTGCAACAAAAGCAAAAATTTACAAATGGGATCTAATTAAGCTGCTGCACAGCAAAAGAAACTATCAGAATGAACAGACAACCAGAATAGGAGAAACATTTTGCAATCCATCCATCTGACAAAGGTCTAATATCCAGAAACTACAAGGAAATTAAATTTACAAGAAAAAACAATCCCATTAAAGGAGGGCAAAGGACATAAACAGACGCTTCTCAAAAGAAGACATTTATGTGGCCAAAAACATATGAAAACAGTTCAGCATCACTGATCATTAGAGAAATGCAAATCAAAACCACAATGAGACAACCATTTCATTGTGGCTACTGCCAGCCCACCAGTCAGAATGATGATTTTATTAAAAAGTCAAGAAAAAACAGATGCTGGCAAGATTATCAAGAAAAGGGAACCCTTATATATTGTCGGTGGGAGTGTAAAGTAGTTCAACCATTGTGGAAGACAATGTGGTGATTGCTCAAAGACCTAGAACCAGAAATACCATTTGACCCAGCAATCCCATTATTGGGTATATACCCAAAAGAATATAAATCATTCTACTATAAAGATACATGCATGTATATATTCATTGCAGTACTATTCACAATACCAAAGACACGGAATCAACTCAAATGCCCATCAATGATTGACCGGATAAAAAAAATGTGGTATATATACATCACAGAATACTGTGCAGCCATAAAAAGGAATGAAATCATGTCCTTTGCAGGGACATGGATGGAGCTGGAAGCCATTATCCTCAGCAAACTAACACAGGAACAGAAAACCAAATCTGCACATTCTCGCTTATAAGTGGGAGCTGAACAATGAGAACACATGGACACAGGGAGGGGAACACCACATACTGGGGCCTGTTGTGGGGAGCGGGGAGGAGGGAGCATCAGGCTAAATAGCTGATGCATGTGGTGCTTAATACCTAGGTGATGGGTTGATAGGTGCAGCAAATCACCATGGCACACATTTACCTATGTAACAAGCCTGCACATCCTGCACTTGTATCCCAGAACTCAAATTATTAAAATAATCAGAATGTGGGATCATCTTGATGTCATCTTCAATATGTTATAAGCCTCTGGTGACTTATTAACACCAAATAACATTTACTGAACACTTGAATACATTTAGGTTTTCACCAAAACAGTAAATTCAGGGCCAGGTGTAGTGCCTCACACCTGTAGTTCCAGCCACTCAGGAGGCTGAGTCAGGAGTATTGCTTGAGCCCAGGAGTTGGAGGCTGTAGTGAGCTAGGATCACACCATTGCACTCTAACCTGGGTGAAAGAGCAAGACTCTGTCTCAAAAAAAAAAGTAGATTCAGATGTGCTTTAAGCCTTTATGAGCATGCATATTAAATAGGTGGCACATGAAAGTGCATATTCACACTTCATAATGTGAAAACAGTTATAACAGCACAGAGAGACCACATCAAGGACAGGTTGGAAGTAGCATATAGTAGTATGCAGCCGTATAATCAAAGTCGCCCATTTCAGAAACTAAAAACATGAATGAAAAATGAGGCAGAATGGACCAGCAGAACCATACTGGCAGCATTCAAAGGAAACAGGTAGCACAGCCTCACACTATAAACTCTGAACAGCAGCAGACAAAAGACCTGCTAGAATTGGAATTTGGCTCCTATACTCTGGCTTCCTAGAAGCTGTGCATGGGCAAGGACAAGGTTAGTAATTTGTGAAAAGCCAAATGCATTTGGAGGGAATCAAATGCCTGTTGAGTCAGTGCCTAGGGGAGATATCAGAAAGTGTTTCTCCAAGGTGGAAGCTCCTCCCCAATCACGTATACAGTCATCCAGCATTATTCAGCAGGGCTACTGCCAGCCCACATGCAGCCCTGTGTGTGAGTGAGTGGCACCTTTGTACAGAGAAAGGTCCTTTCTCTGAGTAGATGTGACCCCACACCAGGACACATGGCTCAGAGTAAACTGGATTTCAGCCCCCAGCTGCATTCTCACTGGCTCCCTAGTGCAATGCACTGACCTAATGACTGTCTCAGTCCTGCTTGCCAAGGAAGGGAAAGCTGTTGGGAGTGGCATTCTCACGCTGTCTGGGAGGGAGGCAGTTGAGATGCAAGGCTCCCCAGAACTCTGTCTCCAATGGCAGGTGGTCTGGGAGCCGGTCCTGACCTGGGTCTTGTTACCTGAGAGGGTGGGGCTTATGAGGAGTGGTGATTTGAGTTGACTGACTCCCTTCTTATTTTCTTCTGTAATGTTGTTTAAAACTGGACAGAATTCACTCTGCCTAGTCAGGGGCATATCCTGTTTCCAAGGACAGCATCTTCCAATGTGGATGGTTCCGCCAAACCAGGTAAACTTTTTCACTTGTGACAGAAATGCTTAACCTCAGGATAAATCCCACCTCCTTCACGCCTGTCTTTCCAGAAGTTGTTTTCCCTCTCCTCCTAGCCAGGGAGGAAAGGTGGGGGAAACAGATGGCTTTGGGGCTTTCCTCCTCACAGGAGTGGGGAACTTAGGGCAGGGCTGTCCATCAGCCCTTTTCCCCTCTGCTCGGTTGGTTCCTGGGCTGGTACTTTTTGAGTTCTCTGTCTTCTAAGGACTGCATATTCCTGACTTGTATCTTATTGTCTAAGAGGAAGGGACTCAGCTGGAAGCAGCTTGGAGAAGATCAAAGAGCTCAGATTGGGTGGGAGAGCTTCAAGACCACCCACATTGTAACTGGGAATCCACAAGCCTGCTGTGCAGCCATGAGAAAGATGTGAAGAAACTGCCCATCAACTATTTGTTTTTTTGTAGAGACAGGGTCACACCATGTTGCCCAGGCTGGTCTCTTATTACTGGTCTCAGGTGATCTGCCACCTTGGCCCCCCAAAGTGCTGGGATTAGGTGTGAACCACTGCCTCTAGCCTTATGCCTGTGAACAATGTAAAGAATACTACAGAAAAAGGACAGATATAGAACCCATTCTGAAAGAAAATTTACTCTAGGAAATAGAACATCCTTCACATTAAACACCCTATATTTTAAAAGAATTTAAAGAGAAAAGTCTTTAATGAAAAAAGAAGTCAAAGTCAAAACATTACAATAAAGTAGAAATGAAACTTAGAGCTAAGGAAATAAGTTTCATAAATTAGAAACAGCAAAGAACAAAATACAGCTAAAAATTGAGTTGCCAACACACAGAACCCTTGAGATAATTCAGTCAGGTGCTTATTGAGTATCATCTATGTGCACCTGATGCTGCTCTGACACAAGGTTAAAAAAAAAAAAAAAAGCACTTTGGGAGCAAGGCAGGTGGATCACTTGAGGTCGGGAGTTCGAGACCAGCCTGACCAACATGGAGAAACCCCATCTCAACTAAAAATACAAAATTAGCCAGGCGTGGTGGCACATGCCTGTAATCCCAGCTTCTCAGGAGGCTGAGGCAGGAGAATCGCTTGAACCTTGGAGGCGGAGGTTGGAGTGAGCCGAAATCGTGCCATTGCACTGCAGCCTGGGCAACAAGAGTGAAACTCCATCTCAAAAAAAAAAAAAAAATCCCCTGTCCTTGTGGAGCTATGTATTCATTGGGGTGAGTACAGGGGTAGCATGCACTGATGAGAAATGCTGTGGAGAAAAATAAGGCAGGATGAGGAGGAAAGAGTGACAAAGGTTATTAGGTTTCCTGGGATGTGGGAAGGCCTCTGATTAGCGGATATTTGATCAGAAGGAAAAAATATTGAGATGAATAGACAAGGATGATTCAATGTAAAAAATACTGGTAGGTAGAGAAGGCTACGATTGGCACAGAAAAAATATATTCAAATAAATGATTATATTTTTCCTAAAGAACTGAATCTGCAGATAAAGAGAACACATCATGTTTTAGAAAAATGTAATATGGAATGAGCAACATTGAAACATATCTTGGGAGAACTTACTTGGAGAAGCTTATGCCAAAAAAAGTAATCTATCGCTCAACTTCTTCATATCAATGTTGTACAGTGTGATCTGAGATCTTTTTCCCCAAGCAGTTATAAAGGCAAATGAAGAATTCCTAAAATATGCAAGGACTCAGGAATCATAACACCTGCACCTGCAAACCTCTCTTGAAAATAACATTTGATGAAATCCAGTCAACCAAGAGAATCAGTGTGGAGAGTACAGTAACGAAGAAGACACAAAACGTAAGAACTAGTTATGGGCCGGGCACAGTGGCTCATGCCTGTAATCTCAGCATTTTGGGAGTCCGAGGCAGGCGGACCACTTGAACCCAGGAGTTTGAGGCCAGCCTGGACAACATGGCAAAACTCTGTCTCTACAAAATAAATATTTAAAAATTAGCTGGGTGTGGTGGTGCATCTCTGTAGTCCCAGCTACTAGGGAGGCTGAGGCAAGAGGATTGCCTGAGCCCAAGAGTTCAAGGCTGGAGTGAGCTGTGATGGCACCACTACACTCAAGCCTGGGCCACAGAGTGAGACACTGTCTCAAAAACAAACAAACAAAAACCCAACTTTGAACTATGACTCCGTTAAAATTTAAAATTAATAATGAGGTTTAACAGCAATGAATGTAAGAATGAAAGACAAGTGTCACAATTTAAAATAATGTAACTAATGGGCTGGGACAAAAATCCTACAGCTTGTTGACAACTCAGTAGGGGCTGAGTGGCCAGTGTAAGTGAGCTAATTTCCTTGTCTTTCACAGCAAGAAGTTACTAATCACTTCATTTTTTAAAGTTAATCAATATATTAAAAGTTTTTAAAGTTTATCCTTTAAAATACAAAAGTGGCCAGGTGGAGTGTTACATGCCTGTACTCCTAACTACTTGAGAGGCAGAGGTGGGAGAATCACTTGAGCCCAGGAGTCCAGCCTGGGCAACATAGCAAGACTCTGCCTCTAAAAAAAATTTCTTTTTAATTTTTAAGTAATTTTAAATTACCAGAAGGGTGGCAGGGGTAAGGATGCATCAGAAAATTGACCATATAGCTCAAGATTAAAAAAAGAGAGAGAGAAATGACAGTCTCCAGATCCAATATAACTGGGATTCTCCAGTTTAATATCAGACAGCATTGAATTAAAGGTAAAAAAGCGTGTATCTGTAACAAGAATGTAAGTGGCCTAAATCTCTACGCAACACAAAACAAAACAGCATTCTGGCAGAAACTGTTAGCTGTCCACCAAAACCTATTCTCTTTTTACATGACCCAGAGTTATAGGTGAGCATTTGGCTGTTCAGATACACCCTGCATTTGCTTGGGATTTCAATGGAATGTGAGCAGAAGTGAGTGCCATCCCAGGCCTGGCCCGTAAACCTCCCTGCTTGCCCTTTGTGTTCCTCCCCTTCCCCATCGGTTGGAATGACAATGACCAAGGTGATGGCATTGAAGATGGCTTCAGCCCAACTTCCTAACTGTGAGGTGTCTCTGTTTTCTCCATACCCACTCTGTCTACAAGGTCAGCTCTCATTGACAATGGAGCCAGAGTTTTAAAAGAAGGCAGAAAACTTATCCCAGTTATCTGGATGGAAAGAATTCAAACAATTGTTTCATTAGATCTAAAATAGGAAACAGAAAGCATAATATCATATTTATTTGGGAGTAGGGAGGCAAGGGTCTATGTGTTCTAGCAGTCACATTATATGTATCAAAATACATGAAGTGGGCAGGTGTAGTGGCTTGAGCTTGTAGTTTCAGCAACTAGGGAAGTTGAGGCAGGAGGATCACTTGAGCCCAGGAGTTTGAGGGGGCAGTGAGCCATGATTGCACCACTGCACTCTAGCTTGAGTAACAGAGAGAGACCCTGTCTCTTAAATTAGCTAATTAATTAAATATATATGTATACACACACACACACACACACACACACACACACACACATAAAAGGACCTGAAAATTCAAAGAGAAACAAAAACATAATCAGAGAGACTTTAACACCTATGACAAAATCCATGAATGTAAATGGTGATATAGAGGATGGGAATAATATGTAATTAGTAATTATTGTTACATATTAATATATATTTAATTCCATATCCAAACAAAAATTCCATTTAATTTCATATTCAAACAGACCGTACCTTCTACTGCCCCTGAGATATTTCTCTAAACTGATCATATCTTGGGTGCCAAAGAAAGCCTCCATGCATTTCAAAATTAGAAATAGTACAGATTGCATTCTCTTATGTCAAACAAAAGAAAAAAAAATCTACAGTTTAATAATCAAAATAGAAAAAAACCAAAACCCAACATTTTGGAAATTTTGAAATTCCTTTCTAAGTTGAAACCAAAGTTAAAATTTTAGAATATCTAGACTATGATTGAATTTCTATATATAAGATGGCTAAAACCATATTCAGAGAAAAAATTCACAGCTTTAAAATAGTGGTACTAAGTAAGACAGAATGGAAATAAATTGACTGAATGTTAATTTAAAAAAAAACTTTAAAAATTATGACAAAATAAACATAAGCACAAGAATGAAAATGATAAAGTGAAACAGAAATTAAGCAATTTAAGAACAGGAAAACAGAATAAATCCAAAGCTTTATTAAGGCATAATTGACAAAATTATATCTATTTATGATGTACAATGTGAATGTTGATACATGTACATGTTGTGAAATAAATCAAGCTAATTAACATACCCATCACCTCACATTTTTTTAAATGGTGAAAAAAATATTTAAGATCTATTCCTTTAGTAATTTTCAAGTAGACATCATTGTTAAGAATTTAGTCCCCATAAACTGTTTTTTGAAGAAACTGTCAGATAGCTACACCTCCAGTCGGCCTAATTGAGTAATGATGGAGACCAATAATAGCTTACATTTATTGAGCACCTAATATACTAGGCACTGGGCTTATGTATATTAGCTCTACTCTATGAGGTAAGAACCATCATTCTCATTTTGCATATGAGGAAACTGAGGCGGGGCTTTAAGCATTTTGCCCAAGGTCTCACAAATAGTAAATGACTCAACAGTTAGATTCCAAGTCACGAAATTAGAACTCAAAAGAGAAAGTCATCACAGATTTAGAAGACATTTTTAATTATAAATTAAAATGATACATAGCAACATTAGAAAATTCTCAAACTCGTAACATGACTGCTTCAAAGGTGCTTCATGAAGAAACAGGCTCATCTGTTTTCCCAGGGCTGAGAAACCTGGGGTAGGGCTGTGGGGACCCACTGTCACCAAGCCTGTGCCCCCTTTTACAATAGCCTGGGCTCCTCTGTGATGGGTACAGTATCTCATGGATGGCAGAATGGGAGCAACGGGGAGCAGCTTCCCTAAATGAGGGGGCCAGCAGCTGTGAGAGAAGTGTATTTATTCTAAAACCTGACTTAATTCTTTCTTGAAAGCAGATTACTTGAGACATATCGGACACTAAAAGCAAGCCCCAGTTGCATCTTGTGGAAAGCACTGAGAGCTACCAAATATATACAGACGTTTCCAGCATGAGTATATTTCATTCCCTTTGAGATCCCACAATAAAATCAAAGTGAAGAAACTCAACAACATCAGTCAAGTGCCCGCCCTACCATGGTGGAGGAGAAACACAATGCGAGGTGGTTAATTAACGGTCCCATCTTATGCAATCAGTACAGGAACTAAAGGGGCAGGTTTAAGTGGCAATTTTGGTTCAAATGCCAGCTGAGCCACCAGTAAAGACGATGTGTTCAGAGGGGTTGGCATCATTTAGAGAAGGGTTTGTTTTCTGAGCCTGAAAGTGAGGGCTGTAATCAGAAACCTTTCATGTAACATGTGTTTCTGGTTCTTCAAATTCAATTGTTTTTTGATAGAGACATTGCAAATTATGAAAGCACAGCTCATGACCTAGAAGTTTTGCAGCACAATCGTTTCCCTTCTGGACAACTTCCTGCAAGACTCTAGTTGAAAAACAGCAGGATGCATCCAGGCAGAAAAGAGATGCTTTGAATCTGACTTTTTCCAGCAACTTCCTTTTCCAAGTCATAAAAAAAAAAGGTGGAATGATTCTCCAGCCATTGAAATCATTAATCTGCCCTCAATTAATGAGATTCTGTTTAATTTTCAGATTTCTTTCTGGTTTTGCTTGTGTGTGTGTGTGTGTGTGTGTGTGTGTGTGTGTGTACTGACCTATGTGAAATGACAAAGTATATTCACATTTTTAGTATTCACAATTTCTTGAATCATAAGTTTACACCAATTTAGAGGTTCATGATCACCAGTTTCATCTTGGTGATCAACATTAATTAACATTCACTTGCAGGCAGCGATGTCCATGTCTCCAGTGGGAAAGGACAGAAACTGAGTCTGAGAATATGGATTCAGGCCCACATCTCCCATTTTTTGGATATGGTCAACCATTTGGCAAATCACGGATGCTCTTTGAGCCTCAGTCTCCTTATCCTTTAAGTGAGTGAATTGGGCTGGATTTTTGCAAAGTTCCCCTCCAACTCTACTTTTTTATCAGTTCGTCTTCCATTTCTGTAACTGCATCCCCTTCCCTTTAAGTGTTTTCACTCCCCTGTGTCTGTCGTTCAAAGAGCTTCTCATTCTCTTGCCTTAAATTTCACCTCTAAGCTGATAACTCCTACACACACACACCTCGATGTGTAGATACATACATATGGATACAATAGATATGGATCCTGTATTGCTATTTAACCACTGGAAACTTCCACTTATCTGCCCTACCATCTTTCATCAAACCTCTTATCCAAATTTTGTAGGACTTGCTATTCCCTCCCAACATAGACTGTTCTCCGTTCTGGATTCAAGGTCTCTTCTCTATGGCTTCTCCATTATCCCAGAACCTGCAGTCATATTTATATCCTTCTTCATCAATTGCCAAGTCCTACTGTCTTTGGACTCTGACCTCTTCTTTCTGCTCCCACTGCCAGGACCCGGTGGCCTTATTTCTCAGTAACTGCCCACTTGATACCTGGCTCGAACCAGGAGAAAGTTCCCCAGCAGGGAATAGAGATGCCCTCCTGTCTCACTCTCTGTCATTGAAATCCACAAATGGGACAAAGAGAGAATGTGGTTTAGGACTCAGCTTTCAGTTCCAGGGAATGGATGCCTGCGGCACCAGGAGGAAACTGAAAAGCCAGGGAAAAGCCACGCGTCCCATGGGACCCTTCCCAGAGCCCAGTAACCGACTGCTTGGAACACCCGCAGTGTTGGTCAGACCCTGCCTAGAGCCTGGCCAACCACTTCCCGGGACACCTGCCCCAGTGTCTGTCGGACCTTGCCCAGAGCCTGGCCACCCATTGCCCAGGACACCCACCCCAGTGTCCATAGGACCCTGCTCAGAGCCCAGCCATCCACTGCCCAGGACACTTGCCCCAGTGTCCGTCAGGAGTTTTGGTCCCATCTTTGCTAAATTCTTTTCGTGATTGATTTCATTTAGCCCTGACACCTTTTCTGTGAGGAAGGGACTGTTGCTGCTTCTGTTTGAGAAATGACAAGGCTGAGAAGCTGAGAGGTTAAATAGGCCTGTGCCAGGCCACTGTGGCAGGGCGAGGGATGGAGCCAAGGTCTTCAGGATTCCAGATCTGAGCTCTCAACTCCCTACACTAATCTGCTCACCTTTTTTAACCAGCTCCCTTTGGTTTATGTTTTAACTTCTATATTCTTTTCTTTAATGACAATTGTGAGAAAAGATAGCAAACATAAAAAGCCATGTTTGCTCATTTCTGCATGAGCCCCTCACTGTGATGAAATGCATCCCTCCAGAACAACGCCTTGAGGACAAAGCAGGACAGAGCCCTCAGCCACCCACGTCTCTCCCTGAGTCACTACATCCTTGAAAAGATAAATGACCTGAGCCCTTGCCTTTGCCTAAACATAAGACAGCGTAGGAGAGGGTTAGTGATTGTGCTGCTATGATCTCTTACTCAAAGGTACTTTAGTCATCTAGAGCCAGATGTACTCTCACATCCAAACTTTGACATGATTTTGCACATACTCAACCCCTGACATCTGCATATAAGCTGTGGGCTGAAATTGCTTTGGAGCAGTCTGACCTGTCTGCTCCCATCACCTAGGTCTCAGTCTATTGTCCTCATGAAGACTTCTGAATACAAATAACTTGAATTCTTTAAAAGCTTGATTTTTGTCTTGAGTTGACAACGACAATGGCTAAGAAAAAGTAAGTCTGAAATAGTGTTTTCAGTGGAGGGAGAGTCTCCCTGTTTTTCTTTTCTTTTTTTGTTTTTTGTTGGGGGGAGACAGAATCTCACTCTGTCTCCCAGGCTGGAGTGCAGTGGTGCAATCTCAGCTCACTGCAACCTCTGCCTCCCGGGTTGAAGTGCTTCTTGTGCCTCAGCCTCCCAAGTAGCTGGGCCTACAGGCATGTGCCACTGTGCCCTGCTAATTTTTGTATTTTTAGTAGAGATGGGGTTTTACCACATTGGCCAGGCTGGTCCCGAACTCCTGAGTTCAGGTGATCCACCCACCTCAGCTTCCCAGAGTGCTGGGATTACAGACATGAATCACCACACCTGAGAGCCCACCTGTTCTAAGAAAGGAAACTTTTTTCTATTTCTCTGCCTCTGCTTCTGCTCCTTCCTCCCCATCCTTAATGGAGTTCCTGAGCCCAGTTCAGAATGGCTCTCCTCTTGGGTCATTTCTTCCCATGGGCATTGTACCTTTGATTGACAAAGACAGAAGGTCTTATAAACATCTCTTACTGTCCAGGACTCAACACGTTTTAAGATCCATGGTTTCTAAAGAAAAATCTGGATTTGGCTGAAACCATGCAGTTTATATGCCATGATCAGGAGGAGGGACAGGGGCTTCTAGCTGTGCCCTGCCCCAATCCTGGTAAGGACACACATGGAGTGAAACCCCTGAGGGGCACTGCAGAGGGGTCAGGGGAGGTGGGCAGCACAGACTGCAGGCAGGCCGTGGCATTTCCAGGGTTGTACTCATGTGCGATGATTCTTTTGAATCCAGAGGTTCAGTCCCTAACAACTCAGACCTGCGCCTGGAGGAGCACATCTTGCATGGGGGAGGATACCCTTTATTTTCACCTCAGTGTCCACCTCCCTGTCCCCACCCTCCCCACCCCCCCTAAAAGAACCGTGGCCAAGACTGGATTGTCGTGATGTTTTTCTTGCTTCCTCGGAAGAGAATGATGTTATCCTGGTGAGTCTAGAATCCTTGAAGGAACTTGTGATCAAATGGTGGGACTGCTCACATTGATACTGTAGGAATGAATGTGCCCCTTCCCTTTTTCTCCCATATTCTGAATATCCTTGCAGGTTCCTTTGTTCCTGGGTTCCTCCATTGGCAGGGGATGAGCAGGTCAATTTCTGTCACTAAGGGGTTCTATCCTGCTGCCAAATAGTATGCCCTCTGCCCATCCATTTGTAGGACTGAGGTCTTGCTATGTGTTCCCTACATGGGGGAGCTGCCCACTAGAACAGCTGTCATTGACAATTGAGTCAGGCAGTCTATCCACTGCAGCAGAACTCAATATCTGTACTCATCTCACTCATAAACCCTCAATGGATCCCTATTGTCTGCCTCTATGAGTCAGTCCCAACTATTCACAGTCTTCAAAACAAACACACAGATTGGGGGTGAGTCCCCTTGTCTGAAATGTACTTCTCCTTCTGTCTTATATAGTCCTTCTTTTCTTGTTTCCTCTTGTCTTCCAGAACTCTAGAGGTTCTACTGGGTTTTATATTTGAATGCCCAGGGATTCCATGTAATTCCATTCAATTATAGACCACAGACGATTCCCTGGTGAATTAATAATTTCAGAAGGTTGCTGCTTTCTTTAGCTGAAGTAGAAGCTTCTGAGGCCCAGCATTCAATAAAGGCTAAATAGGTTGAGTGTCTTCACCCAGTGCCCACTACAGAGCTAAACATGTCATAGAGGCTAAATAAATGCTTGCTAATTGATAAAAAAAAAATAGAGAGAGACTAGACAGTAACTATGTATTATGAATGTGGATTTGCCCAAAGGAAGATAGAATTATCTGATTGTCTGAAAATAGGGAAGGGTCTAAAAGATTTTTGGTATTTTTATATCTGAGTGTGCAATCAGAATTAGAGCAATTCAGTAAACCTGTGCATGTTTATCTCATCTGAAAAATGGAAGGTTAAAAAAATTCTAAGCCTGGCATTTACGTGCACAGCTGATGAATGACTTTAGTAATTTGTAAGCAAAAAGCTTAGAATTCCAACTTTTCTTTGTAAAAATAGCTTGAGTCACATTCTGAAGCTGGAAGGTTTTACGCAAATTAATAATACAGGTGATTTTTCAACTTCTGTTGAACGGGTAAGTAAATAACCCGAACTAGCAGAATCAGCAGTTAGCTAAGTGGTTCTCTCAAATGCATCAAGGACTATGCCATTAATTTTCTCTGCTGTGGAGGTGGAGGATGATCCCAGCACAATTCCTTCTTCCTTTGGCTTGGCCCCTTATATCCTTGATAGAGTTTAGTCTCAGCTCTTTGATGAAATACCTTGTCCCATGAAAGTTTCCTGGGATTTGTCAACTAAAACTAAAATTCTAAGTCCCTTACTGATGGAACAAACCCTCTCTCTTGGCCAAGGGAACCCCAGAAAAAAACTTAAAAATTGAGTTCCTGGGCTGGTCATGGTGGTTTATGCCTATAATTCCAGCACTTTGGGAGGCCAAGGAGGACAGATCACCTGAGGTCAGGAGTTTAAGACCAGCCTGGCCAACATGGTGAAACTCCGCCTCTATTTTTAGTCTCTATTAAAAATACAAAAACTAGCTGGGTGGTGTGCATCTGTAATCCCAGCTACTTGGGAGGCTGAGGCAGGAAAATCACTTAAACAATAATAATAGACCGGGCGTGGTGGCTCATCCCAGCATTTTGGGAGGCCAAGGCAAGCAGACCACCTGAGCTCAGGAGTTCAAAACCAGCCTGGCCAACATGGTAAAACCCCATTTCTACTTAAAATACAAAAATTAGTGGGGCATGGTGGCACATGCCTGTAATCCCAGCTACTTAGGAGGCTGAGGCAAGATAATTGCTTGAACCCAGGAGGCAGAGGGTATAATAATAACAAAATAATCAAAATAATAATAACAGGTCTTATTCATTCTCTCTAACTATATTTTTGTACCAATCAAGTGAATTATTAACATTAGGAGGATTATTAACATTGGGAGATTCATGTGTGGGAGTGCTGAGGTCAGCCCAAGGCCCATGCGGTCATTCTTCTTCACCCCAACATAGGCATAGTAAAGTCACGCTTCCACATATACAACAATGCAATGTCTGTTAAAAGATTCAAAAATGGTCTCACTCTGTCACCCAGGCTGGAGTGCAATGGCACTATCACGGCTCACTGCAGCCTTGTCTCCCTGGGCTCAGGTCATCCTCCTGCCTCAACCACCCCAGTAGCTGGGACTACAGGTGCACACTATTATCTCACATACTCCATAAATATGTATACCTACTGTGTACCCACAATAACTTTTTTAAAAAAGAAAAATGCAGAAATAAGCATTCCAAGATAATAGTTATAATAATTCACAACATTAGTTCCCTATTCAAGGACCCTTCACAGGCATCATTCCCTGTGTCCTCACAACTACTGGGTTTCTGCTCTGGGGCCAGGTGGTTCCCTTCCTCCTGAACCTGTGGTCCAAAGCCCAGTCAGTCCTCACGCCTGCCTGACCATGGTGAAGCGGCACAGAAGGCCAATGCACTTGACTTCTGTGGCCAGTGTGTATAGTAGCATGCACCATATGGAAATGATGGGGAGCAGCCCCCTTCACAGCTCAAGCTAGAGGCTTCATGAACCCCATGAGCCAGAAGTAGGGCAGGGAGCTGGGTGGCAGCCACTCTCTTCTGTTGCCACAATCCCTTTCAAGGCCGATCTTACTGCACTTGAAGAAATAATGTCCTGGGATGACATTACCTCTCTGGAAGGATGTGATACTTCTGACATTCCATGGGGTGTGGGCACTTATTTCTATCCTGAGGAGGTGAAGGATAGAGGATCTGAACTCTGAGGAGCAGGGGGCATTGAGAAAGGGTATTTTGATGTGTGAAGTATAAATTGATGTCTCAGCTGTGAGAGGCAGGAGGTAGATATAGGTTCTCTATCCATGAGGTTTCTGGATGCCTCTGATGTCTTGTTGCCAAAACATGTCTTTAATGCGAGAGAGAGGGAGTTGTGTTTTGTGAGGGGCAAGGAGAAGACCTTTCATCCCACTCCAGCGACATGGCGAGTAGGTGAGTAGTAAATGATGTCCAGTGGGGCTTCTGGAGAATATCCCTGCCTCCAGCAAGGCCTGTAGTGAAACCAAGGTTTGTTGCTTTAGGACCCACCAGGCAGAAGCAGGTTTCCCTTCCAACTAACGCCAGCCCCTATGGCTGTGCTGGGGTCTCAGCTCTACTCTCCCATCTCAAGCACCTTACCCGACAGTCATCTTTCTTTCCCACTCTTCACTGGATCCTTTCTATTAGCATTATGGTTTGCTTATATCACCGCCATCTTAAAATAACCCTTCCTCCCTCACTCCACATGGCCCTCCATCTCAGCCATCTTTCTCCTCCCATGTGAAGCCACATTTCTCAGAAGAGTTGTCTGCGTATGTTCTCTCCATTCTTCCACCAACTGCTCTGTCACTGAAATGACTCTTGCTAAGGGCATCAATAATTTTCATGTCACCAAGTTCAAAGGACATTCTCTTAGCCTTCATCTCTCAGCAGCTTTTAAACAAATAGCCTCTCCCTTACTTAAAATACCAATTCCCCTTGGCTCCAGGTCATCGCATGCTCTTGGTTGACCTCTTCCTCCCCCGCAGCTCTTCCTCAGCCTCTTTACCAGGACTTCCTCTTCTATTTATTATTGAAATGTTGGTCTTCCCTTAGCTTGACCCAAGGCCCCTTCTCTGCTGTGTCGTCTCTCCCTGGGTGGCCCCACCTACATGCAGGACATCAACAGCCAATTAGCAACAATGACTCCTACATTTATTTCTTCAGCTCAGATCTCACCTCTGACCTCAGAGTCATATTCAACTACCTACCTGAAAGCTTAGTCAATATATCCAATGTTGAACTTGTAACCACACCAGACCAATCTGGCTTGGCTTTTGGTAACAAAATTGTTTTTCATTTGCCATGGATCTCCAGGTTGAGGTCATATAACCTGAGCATGCCCAGATGAACCAAGTGTGCAGCCAAAGGGGGAACCTACGTGCTTGGGTGAAGGAGTGGGGACTGAATTAAGAAGTGGACACCATCAAGTAGGATCTAGGATTCAATCAGATGGTACTCTAGTCACCCCATGGCAGTCAGTCAGATCATTCTTCCCAACATCACTTCATTGCAAGATCTAATCAGATCACACCTCACACCTCATTAACCTATGCTTATGAAACCCAACTAAAACCCCAGCTTGAGGAGACAGATTTGAGCATTTCCTCCTGTCTCCTTGCTGGCTGACTGGCAATAAAACTTTTCTTTTCTCAAAAGCCACTGCCATGATATTGGCCTCTGTGCGTTGGACAGCGAACCCATTGATTGCTTTGTCACAAACCCTGATGATCTCTCTCCCAACTCCAAAATTCTTAGTTTTCTTCCAGTTTATCTTCTGTAACCCATATACCCAGGAGCGGAGGCATCAAATTTTGAAGTCATCACTCCTCCAAGTCAATCAATTGTGAAGGTCTTTCAGTTCTGCCCCTAATAAATCCTGAATGAACTCACTGCCCCCATTTCCACTGTCTTGATCTAGGCCACTCTCATCTCCTCGCTGGACTTCTGTGATGGGCTCCTGACTGATATTCCTGCTTTCATGCTTGCCTCCCTCCAATCTGTTCTCTCATCATCAGCAGGAGATATTTTTTTGAAATGAAAATCTGTGCATGGAGTATGGGAATAGACAGGAAGACTTAAAACTCTTAAAACAATAGAAAACCCATTATTCTAAAATAAAATTCAACATCCTTTTCTCAGTTCCGTAGACCCACCACAAAGCCTAATTCACAGTGGTGTTTTTCTGCTTCCTCCTGCTCACTTCTTTCCTTTTGCCTGGCTTTCTCCTACTCTTCCATTGGCTCTCAGCGTAAATGTCACTTTGCCGAGAGCCTTATTGAAACCCCAAAACCAGAGGCCTCCTCATATTACATGCTTTATTCTTTCAGGGAAGTAGAAGGAATAATCATGATTGCAACTCAATAGCTGACTAAATGATTGGTTCCTTAAAACCTTGCGTTACCCTTTAGGATAATGAAAATATTCTAGAATTGATTATAGTGATGGTTGAAAAACTTTATGAAAATATGCAAAGCCTTGAATTGTATACTTTCAATGGGTGAGTTGTGTGGTATGTGAATTAAATCTCCATAAAACTTTCCTAAAAAGAAAGAAAAGGCTTACATTTGAATGAAAGCTCTAGAAGAGGCAGGGAACTTGTCTGTTTTGCTTACTGTTGATCACCTAGCATGCAACATAATGGCTTTGCATGAGGTATGTGCTTAAATATTGGTTGAGTGGTGGTGAAGGTGAGTTAATGACAAGACTGCTATTCTGAGTGGGAGTGGCTTTGTAAATGTTTTGTGTTTCTTAGATTTGAGAAAGATTGGCTTTAATATATTACACCTTACTATTTTAATGCTTTTTATGGAAATGCCTTGAGACCTCTATCATGCTGAAAGCAGTGGCCTGGATCTAGAGGCTCCAAGCCCATCAGAGCCCTGGAGGTGTCTGGAGTCCTGGAGCTGTTGCCTGGTTTCCCCTCCCAAAAAGCCTTCCTCTTGCAGCACGTGGCCAGCTCCAAACCTGCAGATACAGCCAAATGATTCCATGTTTCACTGTCCTCATACCGAGGGAACATTCAAAGTTCTGTGCACAGCTCACTCGACAGAGTTATTACCTGTAATTTCTAGGGAAAGCAAATTCTAGAGGAGACAGTTCAGCCTGCCCATACATTCTTCTTTCTACAAAGCACTGACGTTTATTTATTTTAAAGTGGTTCTAAAGGGATCCAACCTCAACCAATGTGTTTGGCCCCATTTGGTTTCATCTCATTCTACTTTCCTTTCCAGATCAATGACTCAAGATGAAGCCAAATATGCTCCAGTGAGCATGGTAACTGGAAAAATTGCCTTATTTTTGTGTTCCCTGGGTGTGCATGTGGCAACCTAGGACAACATTTAAATAGATGTGTAAGAAAAAAGGGTAGGTAAGTGGACTTCAGAAGGAGGGTTCAATTCCAGTGTCTTTTTTTATGGCAGACCCCTCTTCCCAAGTAGAGGCATCACACTGGCTTTGAGATTACTGCCTGCACACAGACTGCTTGAGACAATATTTTAAAGACTTTCAACTGACGCTCCTTCCTACTAGTTTATGTAAGATATTAATGGACTGGCTGTGGGATGCATCTCTGGGTAAAAATACCCATAAGTGCATGTCAGTGGCTCTGGGGAGCAAAAACTAGAACTCCTGATTTTGGCTATAAAGCGACTTCCTACAAATTACTTCTGTCAAGTGCCAGCGAGGAGCACAGGGCTGGCTGGAGCTTCAGTGGTGGCTCCCATCCAAATGCATGCGGAATTCTCTCCACAGTATAACCAGACTGGCATCACGTGGACTTGCTTGACTGCTGCGAGATTTTTAAAGACTTGCTTCTGGATTTTCAATTACATGTGGCAGTGATTCTTCTCCTAACAGACTGACTGAGTGATTGACTGAGTCATTCATTCATTCCAGAATATTGATTGAGCACTTTTTATCAGTATTCTAGATTTAGTAGTGGCCAAGATAGGCAAGGACCCTGTTCTCAAGGAGTTTATATTCTAGTGTGGAGAAACAGAATAATAAAAAGTAGAGATATGTAGTAACATTGGAGATGGATGACAAAGAAAAATAGCAGAGTAGTGGTTAGAAAGTTACAGAAGGAGCAAGGGATATTGACATAGGGTGGGTCAGAAAAGCTTCATGAACAGGTAACATCCGAGCTGAATTATACAGCAAGGAATCAGCCATGCTCTGAGTGAAGAGCCATCCAGGAGGAGAGAGCTATAAATGCAAAGGTCCCAAACAGGAGCAAGTCCTTTGTGTTCATAGAAAGAAGTCCAGAGTTGCTGAACTGGAGTGAACAGAGGGGACTGGGTAGATGTGAGATTTGAGGGTGGGGCAGGAGCTAGCTGGGAACCCTGCAGCCTTGGCTAAAAGTTTGGTTTTTGATCTAAGTGCAGTGGGAAAACATTGAAGTTTTTAAGTGTGCAGGGAGGGAAAGGGTAGACATGAGTGTCTCAGTATGGGGAAGAAGAGCTTAAGGGACTCTGCAGGGTTGGAAACCAAGAGGGATGGCTCCTGGTAAAAGGCTCATGGGGGTTTGTGCAGTATCCAAGCCAAATCCCAGAGTCAGTAGTTCTCAGCAGTCCACCACCCCTAGCCCCAGTTAGCCACTTGGCTTTTAATCTGAGACTAGCTTCAGAAAAGGCAATTAGGCTGGGCGCAGTGGCTCATGCCTGTAATCCCAGCACTTTGGGAGGCCAAAGTAAGCTGATCACTTGAGGTCAGGAGTTCAAGACTTGCTGGGCCAGCATGGCAAAATCCCATCTTTACTAAACATGCAAAAATTAGCTGGGTGTGGTTGTGTAGCCTGTAATCCCAGCTGCTTGGGAGGCTGAGGTAGGAGAAGCACTTGAGCCCAGGAGTGCAGTGAGCTGAGGTTGTACCACTGCACTCCAGCCTAGGCAACAGAACAAAACTCCGCCTCAAAAAAAAAAGAAAGAAAGAAAAAAAAGAAAAGAAAAAGCAACTGAAAAATCCCACGTGCCTTCTGCTGTGTAGTCAGCCAGTGCCCTCCATCCTTTCCAATTCCTGGTGGCGACTTAGATTGGATTTCTGAAGTCAAACACCATTTCTTTTTAATAAAATTATTCTGGTCTTAATTAAGATGACTTGGCCATATTTGTAGAGTTAGTTCTCTTACCTTTTAAACTGCTGTCATCCAATCGGTGCCCGAAGCCCTTCAGCCTCCTCCAACAGCTGTTTTCCCCATCCCCCCAATCAGGGCACAGGCAGGTACCTGAGTGCTTCCAAGGGACTTCTTGTGGAAGCACTGGCCAAGGCCCTTCTGCAACATTTGTCATGGTCCTTAGTGGCAGAGAGTTGCCAATTACCCACGTCATCTGCTTTGGGAATCCAGTCCAAACATCGTCTGCTGAAAGTAAGCTAAATTATACATTTTCTTTTCCCCCTGCTGATTGTGGATAAGAGATCAGAGCATTTCTAAAATATACGGCTCTTTTCCAGGGGAGGAGTGAGAATCCTGACAATTATAAAGAATAACAGGGGCCAACCATTGCAATGTTCTTCCTACGATATACAGCAGCAAATCTGTATGCTCCTCACAAACAAGGGTTATTGTCTTGGTCAGAGTGGATAGTGGGAGGTGAAAATGGCTTCATGATGAATTTTGATTCTACTTTATTCTCTGCCTGCTTGTGATTTCAACTCCCACCAGTGTTTTCTGGTAAGCTAATGCTGAATTATAGCATTCTTTTCTTAGCAAGGTCTCTTGACAGCTAAAACGAAGGTAATAATAATGAGGGGTGCAGGAGGAGGAAACGGATCTTTAAAGAGTTTTTATGTTTGTGATAGATGGAGAAAGCAGGGCATGGGGTCAGCTCTGCAGGAAGCCCAGGGATAGGGCTAGGTAATAGAACTGACAATTTAAAAATCTATTCTGCACATTAACAAAAGGTAATCATCAAAATGCTTTCCTAATAGTCTCTCAGGAGCAAGACAGGATTCTGCCTGTTTTTCAGGGAACTAGCAAGGTGGCTCTGCCGGAACAACACTTCCGGGTTAGAACATGAGCACAAGGGGAAGAGACGAGGACATCAATGCTGGAATAGAACAAAAAAAAATCCCTCTCTTTTCATTTCTCATCTGGTTGATGTGGTTGAGAAAGGTGCTCTCTGGTGAGGGGTAGCTAAGGAAGGCAGGAGACACTTTGCCAGGATTTGAGAGGCTCTAGTGTTTTCCTTCCCAGAAAGACGCCCATCCCCAGCTACCTACTGGGGTACACTTCTCACTGTAATAGCCCTTTGGCTTGAAGCCATCATCTCTAGGAGAGTCTTGCTAAATGATGCATAGGGATATGGTACCCTACCACGTGACCACATCTACCTGGATTCACCCTGCGGGCTTTCTAAAGCTAGGGCCCTGTTTCTCTTTCCACTTTCAGCACCTCTCTTTGCTACCTCTCATTTTGACTGCTCCACACCTTCCCACCAGCTTTTCAAACCTGAGTTTTGTGTTCCCAGTCCAGGTCCCCTATAAGCACCATATCCAATCAGATTCCTCTTCTGTCCAGAAACCTTCTGTGACTCCTCCACTGTTTACAAAAGAGTGTCCACATGTTCTTAACCTGTGCCTGGGTGAAGCCTCACAGTGGTGCTCTGCAGCTGCCTTGCTCTCTGCGGGGGAGAAGGTCACGCAGCCTCTGGTTCAGCTGCAGAGCAAGGGCATTTTTGAGGAGATGCATCCCTGTGTGTGAGAAGATGGTGAGGCTGCAGACACCAGAGAGCTTCTTTCATTTTCTCATGTTACCGTCTTTAGATTTGTTGAAACATCAGTTTTCATGAACACACCCCAGTTTCTCTATGTATTTACCCATTTCTGTCTAAATTCCTGAGAGGGACAGGAAGAGCATGTGCAAACACATCACACTGACTCTTTTTCTATTACTGTTTGATGTTCCTCTCTGTAAAATAGGGAAAACAATACTTAGCTCAGTGGCTGGCTATGAGGAAACGTACATGAAAGTGACTGTCAGATCTGTGTCCGACACTGCGGCACAATTCCTCTCCCCCATCTCGCGGGTGTTTCTTCATCTCTGTGTGGGCAGCAGCAACCAGAAGGGCGCCTTGCATATTGGAAGCTCTCATTTCTCTGCTTGAGGCCAAATTGCGGTAAAATTTCAGCCCAGCAATCTTCCTGGAGGATCTGCCTGCCTCGTTTCCAGTGGTATCTCCTGCCCACGTGCCACCCGACTCTTGGCTTTTCCCCTTAGTTGTTGTTGTTTTCAGGGTTTGTAGCCTCTTAGGCCTGGAAGAATTTTGAAAGATTCTTGTGATCTGTCACAATGGTAAGAAAATCAGTCCTGTTTTTCATGCCTTCTTCAATAAAGGAGATTCCCATCCATTCAGTGGCACTCCTCACTTCCTAACAATGAAGAGTTTTGTTCCTCTAAATCTGTATGGATTCTAGTCCTAGCTCCTCCTCTGACCTTGGCTGTGTAACCTTACAGAAATCAGTTAACTCTCCCAAGCTACGGTGGTCTCACTTGTAAAGGCTTGGAGGAAGAGGGTGAGAACATACCCAATCCCCACTTTCCAAGCCTGGGTTTATTTGTTCTCCTGTCTGGACCTCCGTGGAGATTAACAGCACTCTGACAACATTCTTTCTGTAAAATGACTCTACCGGCAACACTTCATAGAGGTAGAATGGGCAGCAGCCCCACTACCGGGTGACGAAATACATCGCCAAATGGCATGCGATCGTTATGACGGAGGTCGCTGGTGCCACTGTCTGGGGAATGGGCTGCAGCAAGCACAGGTCACCCCTGGGCTATTTTCTCCCTGTCTCTTGTGGCCTTGTTTTAACACTCAGGATCTTTGATGTCTTTCACCTATATCAACATAGAACACAGAATGTGGAATAGCAACAAGAAACACTGGGGAAGCATCGTCTTGGGAGAAGAAAGAGCATCCTCAACCTCTTCTCCCTCCCCTCCCCATGGTGCCTCTGGATGGGACTGGATGCTTCCTTTGCTTCTGGTCCACCCATGTCTTTCATGACGGCTCTCAGATCCAAGCCGACCCCTTTCATCTCCACACTGTGGGTGAATTGTGTAGCTTTGACGTTTGGGCAGTGGTCTCATATATAATTCCTTTTTCTTATTTTTGGTTACTCTTCTAACTCTTTGAAAAGTTTTTCATGCCCCTTCTGGTCTGGGAAACTTTGAATGGATAGAGATGTCACTATACTAAGAGGATACTGATTCCTTTCATGCATTTTGCTGTAGGATATTGTCTTTCCCTGAGGTCCCTCTACAAGAACACAGAAAACAATGCATCTCTGGCGGCTTTGCAGTCTGGCTGGTTTCTGCCTCATTAACACAGAATGGTCTGCTCTCTCAATGGCCATAGCCAGCCAGTCTGCCAT